TGAGTGATTGTGGAGGAGAGTGAGTGTAGGTAAGTGAAATAGCTCCAGACAAACACCCAGGGCTAACCCTAAGGTCAGACAGTCCTATGGGGGGCTCATCTTGAGCTCCCCATACTGACCCCATTCTACTAAGTGCTAGATGTTAGGACCAATAGGACCAATATGTGGAAATATGTGGAACTTCAAGTTGAGGAAGGAGGAGTTTAGAATTTCTAATGGTGAGGGTTTCTTTTCTAGTTTTCTAAGAATAGTCAACAAGAAGTCCTATGGCTAGATCTTAGACAACTAAAGAGAAAAAACTAAACCTCAACAAAAAATGAGGTCAACAATAAAAAAAATCTTTTTTTAAAAAAAAAATTCTGAATCCATGATCCCCAAATCAAGCTCTCACGCCTCCTCCCCCCATTTTGTTCCATGCCTGACAGATCCTCCCCATCGGAATCCCTTATCTTCTGCATGTCTTCTCGAGCCGCCCGCAAGGATGATCTTCGCTTTCGCTCCCATAAACGACCCTTATCGGGACAGCGCTGCTCCTTCTTCCTGAGTCGCACAGGCTCGGTTCACCGTCCAAGTAAGTAGAGGTAAACTTCTTCCTCTTCTTAGGCTATAAAAAACCCCATTTGGGGGAGGGTTGGGGGTTGGCTGAAAACTTTTGGAGAAAGGGGGAGGTGCTGCCAAAATTCCGGGTGATTCTTTCTTCTTGGTTGGCTCTTCCCCGGCTTGCTTGGTGTTTGATTCTCATTGTTTCTCTTGAACAATAAACATAGGTGCCTTCTTCTTCCTCTTCTTCTTACCCTCATTTCTCCTTCTTTCCTCCATTTCATTTGTCGTCTTTACTTTTATTTGCTGCTTAAAAGAGCTTAGCTTAATCGATACATAAATATATATCCTGCTTAAATCTTGCTGTCAAGTAGCTTTTGAAAGCATAAATTCTCCCAGCCCCCCCTTCGTGGGTTGCGCAAAGTGCTATGTGCGTAAATATGAGGGTTTGGGTTCTTCTTGAATCCAAACATAAGTGAATATACCTTGGTTCTTCTTGGCTATTTGAAGATGGCTTCTAGTTTATATATATATATATAT